CACCTGTGCAGCTTTTTCAGACTTGAGACCTGTGGCTGTTTTTGCACCGTGGTAGATGTAAACAGCCCCTGCACCATCTTTGTCATAAGGAGCTCCCACTGCAAAATCTGACAGCAAGGATAACAACAGTGAGTTACAGTGAGATTACATAGGTACACACTGTATTTTCTCAAATAAAGGCCAGATTTTAAGGCGGGAAAACAAGGGTGGGTAAACTCGTGCATGCTGACTAAAAATAATGCATATTTCCTAAAGGTCTAGTGTGCAGGATTAGTGGCATCTAGCTGTGAGGTTGCAGACTGCAGCCAACTGAAACTTTTCCTGTGTGAAAAGCGTGTAAGAGAACTGGCTGACGCAAAAACGCAATTGGCCTTATACAGAGCCAGTTTTTGGTTTGTCCATTCTGGGCTACTGTAGAAACAACATGGTGGACTCTATGGAAGAGGACCCGCTCCGTATGTAGATATAAACAGCTCATTCTAAGGTGATAAAAACACAATATTTCTTAGTTTCAGGTGATTATAAACTAAAATCTAAATGAATCCTACACACTGGACCATCAATTTAACAAATTCAACAATAAAATAATTTTATTTTTAACACTTTGTTGTTCTGTATTAGCCATCTAAGGTGTTACTGTCCTGTTTATGTCACTGTTGTAGAATGTCTGTTAATATGCCATCCAAAGTGGATTTTGTATTAACGTAGTAAGTGCTGCAAGATGGCAGTAGCTACATTTAAAGTACTGTAGGGGAAACCTGTGAATATTTCACAATAAAAGCCTTGTTAGGGCTTTTAATTTGAAACAGATGCAGGGAGTGTTATGTTTGTATGAAAAGAGTTATGCAGTAACAAATATTTAACACACCAAATACAACCAAATAAAGTGAATTAGGAACAATGGCCTCTCTCTGATTTAAGCCTGCTTCAGATAAAGGCCGGGAAGCCTCAACAAATGTCCACTATTTGAGAAGTGACGTAAGTATATTTCATTCAAAGAGGGGCATAGAGCATGACCGTCTGACAGTAGTACACATATGAACACACAAAAACATTGCAGCCTCACCATCGAAACCATCCTGATTGATGTCTCCCAGGTTTTGCACAGCCAGGCCGAACATAGAATCCTTGGGCCCATATAGCTTGGTGGGCTTGACTGTGTTCCACTTTCCAGCTTTGTTGAGAAACACGTAGACGGCTCCTCCGATTTCCCCCTCCTTCTCAAAGTACTGAGGTGCTCCCACCACAATGTCCTGCCAACTAACAAAAAAAAGCTTGTTCGTGAGTATAGAGTAAAAGCAATGACAGTTTTCAAAGCAGAAGTTACAGGTTGTGTCCTTCAACCCGCCTCGCTCACCCATCCGCATTGAGATCCAGCACAGTCAGATCGTAGCCAAAAGACGAGGACAGCCCTTCCCCCTCCAGGGTGTACTCATCTACCAATCTGCGACTTGTTTCGCCGGCTGTCTTCAGCAGAACCACTGCTCCGCTATGGTTCGCTCTGGGAGCTCCCGCCACCACTGTCAGCTGGCCCTTCTTGGTCAGACTATTCCCTGAGTCCAGAGAGAAACCTGGGAAGCAGAGACAAAGGAATGTAACATGCATGAAAGTGTGACGATGGAGCAACTGAAGCAGATGAAGACGGCAAGCGGCATGTTACCAAGGTAGCTGTTGGGAGGAGCCGGGACCAAATCAGGATTCTTTTCAGTCTCATCTCCCACCTCAAAAGGACCGTCGTCAAAGATGCCCTGCTCCAGGAAGGATTCATTCTTTTGTTCCAAGCGTACAATACCTGGAGGAGAGGAGAGGAGAGGAGAGGAGAGGAGAGGAGAGGAGAGGAGAAGCATCACTGGCAAATTCCTTTGTGAAGAAGAGCGAACATCATAAATCACATAGAGTGGATTGATAATGACGTAAATCATTTTCATGGCTTATTTACTCACTGCAAGCTGCAAGCTATCACAGACCCACACACACATTAGACTACCTTTCCAGTTGTATGCTCCAGGAGCCCCAAAGATGAGGTAGTGGTAGTTCTTGTCAAATGTGGCCGAGATGCCCTGCTGGCAGGAGCCAAACATCTCGTGACCTCTGGGCCTCTGGTCGCAGAAATGCCAGCTATCTCCCTCTTCACCCGAGTAGGGATCTATGGTCAAGGACTGACTCAGCACGGTGCAGCGGCCAATAATATCACGGGACTCAATAGCTGTATTCACATTGGCCCGACGCTGGTAGCGATGGGCACAGGTCTGCCAGGGAAACAGAAACACACAGTCAAGTTTCCTGATTAATAGGAAAAGGCTTGTGCTGAAATGGCCGTTGAGAGTTTAAATGCTAAATTAATTCTGGGTAAATTTCACCTTAATAACTTCCAACACCATTTGTCTGCTTGATACAGAGCATCACTGCATATCACTTAATACCATTGCATGTTTAATACCCTTGGATAAGACAGGTTTTTGTATGTTTTAGGTATCTGAAGGGCTAAAACTGACAATAATGATCAATTATTTTGCCAATTCATTTCTTGATTAACTGACTGAGTTTAGTCTATAAAATACAGCTGCAACTAATGATTATGTTTGCTAGCAAAAATCTGTACGTTATTTCCACGCTGCAATATCCTAGATAAGGGGTCAGCAACCTTAGACACGAGAGCCACCATCGGTACATGGTAACTTAACCAGTGGCACGCTAGCAATAAGTTTGCAATAGGTTTTTTGGAGATGTTGAAGTGCCCTTTCATCTGAATGCCTAATTGCCTCTTTCACAGACTCAGGAATTTCACTGATGTTTTTCCCTACCAGTACTCAGCAAAAACCTGCCATGCTCTGCTTCTGATTGGCCTGTACTATACTTGTTGCCTTCCTCACAGAAATAATGCTGCTGGAATGGGCTCAAAATAATTTGCAAAAGGAAAAACTGAAAATTGGACTGGCACATTTACAGTTGATTAAGGTGCGTTTTTCTTATAAATAAAATAAAGTAAAGTAAATATGATGTAGATGTCTTCATAAGGATGGCAGGCTTCTTGTATATTGCTCTGATAATATATATATATGTGACAGAATATGACAATATCTTGATTACGGGAGAAAAATGTTTTTTAAGAATGAGAGTCTAAAGGGACTTCATCAGATGTCTTGTTTTGTCCAAGCAACATTTCAAAACACCAAAATATGAAATTTACTATAATTTAGGAAATTTGGAAATCTGGAAATATCACATTTTTTGCATAAAATGATTGTACATCGAAAAATACTTGTTACGATTTCCTAGAGTGCAATTCGACTTTTAAATGTTTTGTGCCCAAAAATATTCAGTTTATAATGATATAAAACAAAGAAAAACAGCAAATCCTTACATTAGAAAAGCTGCAACCAGTTAATTTTTGCCACTTTTGCTTGACAAACGACTAAAATAATTAATCGATTGTCAAAATAGTTGTTAATTTAATGTTGACTGACTAATCGATTGATCGCCTTATTGTTTCAGCTCTACAACTGAGTTTGTAATCATTTCATTTAATTTTGATGTCAGATACAAAGACACACAGTCTTACCAAAACCTTTCCTCCTGGCCCCTGACTGCTGACTGTCACTCCCATCCACTGGTTATGTTTGCTTTCTATTTTTGGATTCTCTACACAGAGACAGGGACAGAAAGAGACATAAAAAGGATACTGAGACTTAAATATCGAGGGGGAAAGTGTGCACAAATGAAATGCACAAGTGTTAGCAGATATCTCACCACTGTTATCAAAATCAACTCTGTTGCAAGTAGGAGAGGGTGAGGTGATGTCACAGTCGTACAGTCCTCCTGGCCTTTCAGATATTTGACGGCTCAAGCGTTTCGCCATCGGGGCACCAACCAGCAGCCTGCAAAACACACACACACACACACACACACACATACACACACAAATGAATCTGTTAAACCATATGCAGCTCACTCAAATGCACATTGTCACATCCATTTTCATCTAGGACTCAGAATTAGAATCATTCTGCCATTTCTTCCTCTTGCGTATAATTTTATCACACATTCCAGTCCACTGTGCCACACAGCAGCCGTATTCACACACACAAACACACACATCCGCCACCAAACTGATGTTCCATGTCCTCACGGTCTAACTGAGTCAAAGCCCCCTTTCAAATGCCTGCTGTGGTTGATTGAACCAGGCTTTCTATCTCTCTCCACACACACACACACACACACACACACACACACACAGAGGCTGCCATTGTGGATGACGGACAAGGGCAAATGCCACACCCGAGTCTTGACGATGGGCATCCAGCTCCCAGAGTTTCCTACAGAGTAAATCAAACAAGTCAAGAATGTC